CACTGGTTCAGAAGTAATAGCGATTTGAAGTTATCATCTAAACGATAGTCGGCAAAAAATCCGTATATACAAATTTACATATAGACCTTACTTAGATTTGATTTACATAGTGCATTGGACACCCCAACCAATCATCGTGAATTTCACGATAATCACATTTGGGAATATTTGGAATAGAGTGTCCAGGATTATGATGCGACATATTATGCACATATGAAATCGCATAATCTGCTCACTTTCATGCAACATGTGAATAAAAATTGATTGGTTAACTAAATAAACCGGTTTTTACATGTGACTATAATCACCTGACTTGTCACACTTTCTTGAATTTTATTGGCTAATAATTCAAAACTCGCATAATTCGCATGATTTACAATTTGCCGCACACATAATTTGCAATTACCGGCGCATAATCCTGGACACTCTAATTTGGAATCAAATCCGCCCATGTGGATAACGTGATATAACGTGATCAGTAACTAAAATTCTGACGTGTTTGTTGATTGTCTATTTTACCGAAACTTATCGATGGCCAAATTTATATTGCCGGCCCGAATTATACTTTTAATTTTGCCCAAGTGCATATTGTTACATGCATTAAAATTTGCGAAAATATCGATTTCTCCATCCATGTTTTATATATGATCGATACAAATCGATATTATTCACCATCCCTGATTTCCGGTAATACAGACCCAGATCCAATCTTTCGTATATTTCATATGATTGTATGATGTAAACCATTACATCGGACATTATCAGATCAAGTTTTTCCGGATCTCCAATCGGACTTTTGTTAAAAAAAAGATCTTCAAATTTCATTATGGCTGGTCATAGCACTTGGACAAGATTATATGAATGATGCCAAGGGAAAACCTACAATACAATCCATGATTTTTGAATATTCGCTTTTAATAAAAATATCTATATTATTTGAATCGATTCAAATGATATGAGATATTTTTATTAAAAGCGAATATTCAAAAATCATGATTTGTAGGTTTTCCCTTGGTAGCACTCATATGAATGCTACAAAAAAAGATATCCGGTAGGCGCTGTACAGTCGACATATATAATGCTTTAATAAGTAATTCTTTTTCCATACTTTAAACATAGTCTTCACGTAAATATACTTCTAAATTAAATGAATTTTAAAACTTTGATAAAACAAGATATGCAAAAAAGATCTTAACATAAAATTCTTCCAAGAGCCTTTTGTTTAAATATACGAGATCTGTTCATTAAAAGAATTGCGCATATTTCGTATACATACTCTGTCAATATAAAAAATTTTCGTATTGATTATCTCATTATTTTCCATACAATCACTATCGCATCCAATATGTTTCATTTCGTCATATGGAACCCCATAGCAAAAAAAGGAGGCAGTGGGCTAAAAAAAAAAAAAATTTAATTGATTTCTTGAAGAATTAAAGCAATAGAATCTAATTTTTATAAAATACAAAATTAAAATTCTTGTCCCATTGCCTCTTTTTGTTGTGGGTTCACATATGTCCTGATCTATTGCTGCGCCATACCTATTGACGTAAATCTAGAGGGTGGAATCGATGAAGAATTATTCGATCATCGATTTCGAGTATCGAAATAGGCTTTCATTCATTGAGTTTTTAATTCGGGCATCATCGAGCATCGGTCAAAGCTAAAATTTACTATTTGATTTGATAATGATAATATTATAAATAACAAACCAAAGCCATTGATAAAAATTTAACGTCATATTAAATTTTTTATATATATTTTTTTGGCATTTTAAAAACTCAATGAACATTCAGATTTTCGGTCAATCGATGCTCGAAACCCATCGATTCTAATCTCTACGTAAATCTTTTTTCAGACCTCAAAAAAAAAAAAAGAAATGCGTTAAAAAAATTAAAAAACAACTATAGCACAACTTGCTTAAAATAATCATAAACGTATCTCATTAAATAGTACTAAAAATAAACTTTGCCACATGAATGATTTTAGATTTAACTAATTATACCAATTCGTAGCATCAAATCTATTTGAACTACTTTTATCGGCCTGAATCAAGCATGTTCATAGATAATAATGCGTAAGCTTTTAAAAATAACGTTAAAATAAAACTTGCTACATTATTTCAGAAGCTTTAAATCTAGGACATGTCTCAATGGTTATTCAGATTCTCGCGGGATTATTGATTTCGGAAAGGTATAGGATGACCTAATAGGTTAATAATAAGATTGTTATTTAAAGAGCCATGTTATATCAAACATTTGCATCAACCAGGGCATCCCTTTGCCATGAATGAATTTCGGCCAATTTAGCTTCGAAACTCGGTGAAATTTATTGCCCATGTTCAATATTCGATATAACCTTTAGTCTAAAAAAATTCATTAGACTTCGAAGCTTCTTTTTTTTTTTTTTGGCAAAAGTAATACCCTAAATAAGGCAATGATAGATATCACTTTTGTTATAGAACTTTTCTATAAAGCATCAATACTCAATACTTCCAAAACTAGAATACCATCAATACCCTTATTATATTTAAGTTTTAAATACAAACTTACTATCATTTTTCTGTTACGCTGTCAGACATTGTTTCGATAATTGGTGCGTAGATAAATCCTTGCCCTACGAGTTCATCGTATTCATTTGCTGATATTTCTTGTCCGTAACGCTTTATCTGTCCGTGAACAAGTAAAACATGTGTTCCTTTAGACGGATCGAGCGTTTTAGATTCGAGAAATTTACGATACGCAATAGTATTTGTTGCGAGCTCTCTCCCAACACCCCCTTCAGACCATTCAGGATCGGTAATGTAATCGAAGACAACGCAGCGTTCTTGTGCATCCATTGTTGAAGGCCAGGTAAAATCAGAGCCTGCGAAGTCTAGTGAGTGATAAACAAATATAAAAAAAAACAAATTAATTAATATTCACCAGATTCACCACTTTCTATTTCATCTATCTATATCAAACTATTTTATTTTCGTAGGTTGTCGTAATACCATAAAACTTTTTCAAATCGTCTTTGATCTTCGTAAATTGGTATAGACCAAGCTTTTCTGCAAAACTTTCGATATCAAGACTTTCAAATATTTTCTCAATTTTTCCAGGTTCTTCATGTGTATCCTTGAAATTCATTGCTCTTTTCGGGGTTTCTACTATTCGCGACTTGTTAGAATATACAAACAAATAAAAGAATGTCGATCACTAACTCTGTATGGAAAATTATAAACCAACTTTTTTTTACGGAGTTCCTTAAATAGCAAAAATCACGTGATAATTTAACCCCGTGATGTTCCATGTACATTATGCAAGCCTGCATTATGTACAGTTAAACCTTCAGAATGCGCAATTCTAAATACTTTACATATTACGAAAATTTCTAAGTATTCGATTCTAAACTAATCATAATCAATTTATAATTGTTGTAATTTAGATTAAGAATTTAAGAATTGCATATTTGGAATTTTCATCCTATAATTATACGTATAATATTCGGAATTGTGCACTCACTGTGCCCATGGCATACCTTCGACGAATATTCGACGCACTAAACAAAGAGGGGCAACCGTTGAAGAATTTTAAATACGATATATTATTTATGGATCGGTATATGACTTAATGGCGCTATCCACTATGCAAAAAAAGAAAGATCAGTGACTGGAATGGCACATCATCCAAAAAAAAATATTAATAATATTTCCATTTCTATATTCATTCCTGCTCACTTATAATTCTACTCTTGGTGGTAATGCTGCCAACAACATTTTTTTTCAAGCAAATTTTGTAAAACCTTTTTCATGAAATGGGTCGTGCGTGTATAGTGATGGGACTAATAATGCTAAAAAATTGTCACATTCAATAATTTATGAAGAATCAGATTCTTTTTAATAGATCACGGCGCGCGACAATTGAATTTTTAGCATCTGTAGTCCCATCACTATGTGTGAACCATCATTCCGCTACAATATTATCATGCCTGTCACAGGCAGGTACTGAACTTGGCATGACAAAGACCATTAGGTAATCGAAAGGATAAACTATGTGGTTATAAGAAGATAAGTCCCTCAAATGAGTTCTTTATTTTTGCTTTTCTGCCAACTTGCATGTCGAAACGTCTAAAATTGATTGAGATAAGTTAGAATAAATATTGTAGAAAGACGAGCAAGATCACAAGCAAGTGGATTAGAATATGGTGTGTTTACTAAGGGTGTTCTCAAGTGCCTTAGTCAATCGATCGGAATAGGGTCGGGGGCAAATTTTAATTAATAAAAAATTGG